TAAAATTTAGCACTTATTTTCCTTTTTGTATATTTCCCTTTAAACACCCCTTTCCCTCTATTTCCAAACAACTACTGTTTCTTTGATTGTATCTCTAGAATATTGTTGTTGCCCTTGTTTCCTAGATATTTTAGTTTGATTTTGTTTGAAGGGTTTAGATAAATTTATCCTTGGAAGAGAATGGCAAGAAAGAAAATTCATATCAATAAGATTGACAATGTAGCAATGAGGTAGGTGACTTTCTCAAAGAGGAGAAGAGGACTTTTCAAGAAAACTCATGAGCTTTCTACTCTTTATGATGCTGAGATAGCTCTTCTAGTATTTTCAGTCGTTGAAAAGCTTTTTGAGTACTCCAGCACAAGGTTGCTCTCACTTATTTCATATCTATATGTGAATGCTTTGCCTTGATTCTTGCTCTATCTCTACTGGTTTAATATAGAAATCTTTGCTTGCTATTCAATTTAATGTGTTGAATGTGCTTGGGTGAACGTGAGAGAAAGTGAGAAACATAATTGTTTTGAAAGAAGATCTTTCGAATCAAGAGAACTGTATAAAAGTATAAATTCATGATAATGGATGTACTTGAATCTTGTATTCTATTACAAAAAGAACTTCTTTTAATAATTTGTCAGAAGCTGAAGGGTTTTGGGGTGGGAGGCCATGGTTTTACATGAATGTCTGTATGGTATTTGTTTATGCTTGTTCGTACTTTCCTGAACCTTGTTTAAGTCATATTTTATGACTAATCAGCTGTCTTATAAGAAATTTATGCTTTTCATATATCTTTTCTGGTGCAACTTAGAACACAACACTGATATTTTACCTTTCATTTTTCTTGTTAGAACCTGATTTGCCATCATTTTCATTTTCTCTCCAACCAAACAGCTTGTAATTTTAGTTTTCTTAATTGAATCTTGTTACAATTTTAGGTTTCCTACACTCTTTTTAAATGTTCTTTAAGGTTTTTATAATGAAATTTACAAATTCTTATGATTTCCTTTTCAAATTTTGTAAAATTCATGTTGAACTCAAATCTGGTTTCAAAACTGAGCACCTAACCTATCTTCAGTCTTTTGATCAAAACTCAGTGAATTCTAGCTTGATTTAATTCAAATTTTTTTTCTAGATTCCTAGTTCATAAGGCTATAATCCAATAAAAATTCAGCCTCAAATTCCATCTGTACAAGTATAGTTAATTCTTCAAAATTAAGGCTGAATCCAAAAGGCAGAAACGATCCATGCATGAGAACTTGATGAATGATGATCCTCTTTCCTTCTAGTTGTTCGATTTGATTCTCTCATACTTTACATTCTTAGTTTTACATGTTTACTTGTTATTTTTTAATTGATTGCATTTATTTTCCTGAATTCATTTGCTGCTTGGAAAGATTTAGTTGTTAATGCTCTGTTTTTCTCTGTTTTGAGTATCACTTGAGTTGCTAGTTCATTAAGCTGGTTTTTCTCTATTTTGCTGCCATTTTCTTGTTGAATTTTGTAGAAAACTTGATTGATGAATTGTTTCTTAGCTCATTTCAAGTTCATTTTCATTATAAGCTTCTAGACCTAATTTTTTCTTTCATCAACTCAGTGAGTTTCGATTGAATTTCACTTTTATATTTTAGTTGTTTCTAGTTAATTCTTGTATTTTCTTGCACTTTTTGTTCTTCAAATCAGTTTTCCTTTTGGTTTCTTAATTGATCTTTTCAATTCCAATTTATGATCAACTGTTTTAGCATCAACTAGATGTAGATCAATTAATTCACATTTGGTTACAAGTTAGTTGCTAGTTGCAATTTTGTGTTCTTTCATTACATTGTGCAATTTTTCTTCAACTTTTGCTTTTCAAATTGATTTCTCATGATGTTTTTTTATAGATCTTTGAAATTCCAGCTTGTTTTGAAGAAAATTTAAAGGAACAAAAATGAAAATTCAGATTTAATATACTAGTTTTGATATGTGTTCTATTTCAATTATATGTGTGTGTTTGTTAGAGTTGGATTTGTTTTGAACCAATTGTTTTAAAGTTTTGGCTATGGCACTTGCAATGTTGATAACTTATCTGTAGAAGAATTTCCTTTATTTAATGTATCCTAAAGTTGATATGTGTTAAGATACTCTTACTTGTTTATTTGAATGAAGATCTAAATGTGCCAAAAGGGTTATTTTATCCCAAAAGTCAAGGAATTTGGGCTTTTTCCATAAATTGGTATGATAGAAAAAGGTAAAAAAAGGATGTTCTGGCTTCAAGCTTTTAATGTCAAAACAAGAAATTAAGTTAATTGTTTTAGTATGACCCATTATAAAAATTTTAGTTTCGGGGTTCAATCTAATTATTTTGTCACACCTATAGATCACAATCATCTTGCTATTAACTATTGAGTTTGGGAGTTATATGCAACATGCCCTTTGTGTTTATATCTCTTTCAATTAGAAACATTTTTGTTGATGTCATCTCATTGAATCTTATTCTTCTTCTGCTTTTGTATCATAAAATAGCATGGCTAGCAATATTTTACTTGTGTATGCCAATTAGATATGCACTCGGATGTGTTTACAGTGGAATAGTAAGTTTTCTTTTCTAGCTTTTTTTATAGGTATTTGTTAAACTGATTTCCTTAATTCCTTCCTAGTTTAAGAATAAAAGAACCATCTTTATTTCAAACATGCCAAGTTTTGCTACTATCCATATTTTATGATGCTCTATGCTCTACCTATATGTTAATCTGAGATAACTAGCTAATAGGTTAGCAGTCATTTAAATTGGCATTTTGCATTTTGGGTGGAAACCATTGTGATGCTTCCATTTGCTATTTTGGGTTTTATTATGAAGCATTTGCAGTTGAAAGGTGCATACTGTAGACCTATCAACTTGGATTGGTCCTCCATACTTTTTCTAATTACTTTCTGATGATTCAATGATACAGTTTTTACTGCTACTAAGTGTAAAAAAGTAATAATTTCTATGGACACAACTATACCAAAAGTTCAAGGTGCAGCATAGTTGATTTATCCATTACACAATTTGCATTTCCCTCTTGAAATTTTGTTGTGTGGTCATTTTATTTTGAAAGATTGGTTTATTTCCTTCTTGAAGCATTTGAATCCATTTATTTCTATAAATTTATTTATGAGCTGAAAATATGATTTGAAATGGTTTATCTTATAAACTTCATGGAATCAAATAATCTTTATCTTTTTCCAAAGCAATCAAACATGAACTTGATTGAAGATCTATCTTTTAGCCTTTCGTATATTCTTCTTCCCTCAAGTTATATGGTACTACATTTCAAGTCTAGCAATTTCATAATGAAATATGCAAAATGGAAGAACTATGATTATGAAAGGCATTTTCGTGAAATGCACTTAGAGAGGGAATGTATATCTTTTTGCCTTGTGCATTTATCTTGATCATTGGTGAAAAACTATATCTTAGTTTGTCATTTTAGTTATATCTGTTTCTCTGTTATTTCTGCATGTATGTAACAATGAGATCTTGTATATCTTTCGTGATTTTATCTTGCATTACAATTTTTATGATACTTTTTATAGCTTATCTAGTGACATTTTTCAATCAGGATGGAACATGTATTGTTCATCATCTTTTTGGACATGAAGTTATGGAGAAGATAAATGAAATATATTGTGATGCATTTCTAACATCACATTTTGAGGTTCTTGAAGAAATGTTCTCTTTAGCAATGGAAGCCAAGAAGAGGAGTGGGTGTTGTAGGCTTCACTCAAAGCAAGTGTGACTCCTTCCATAGAGTCCGTTGATGGGCAAGAGGAAAACAAATGCAAAGTCAAATGTTATTGCATGTATTAAACTTTGTGTTACATGCCTATTGAAACAAATTATGTATTTAAATATTTAAATATTTATAACATTTAGTTTATGAATTTAAATTCATTTTTATTTCTTTTAATAATTTTTTTAATTATAATAATAAATATTAAAATAAAATTTTTGATTTAACGGCATTTGTATTTAAAAATGTCACTAAATGCTGAATTTAGTGATGTTTGTATCAGAAAATACTGTTAAATTTAGTGGCGTTTTCTATTACAAATGCCGATATTTTCAGCATTTAGTGACGTTTTTAAACACAAACGCCACTAAATTTAACGGTGTTTTTTGATATAAATGCCACTAAATTCATAATTTAGCTGTTTTTTAAGCACAAACGCTATTAAATTTAACGATAATTGTATAAAAAAACACTGCTAAGTTTGTATTTAAAAACGTCGCTAAGTTAACGGCGTTTTTCTAAAAATGCTGCTATTTTTTTCGATGCAAGTATAAGTGGCACTCTTAATAATATTTTTTGCAAATGCCACGAATCTTTTAGTGGCATTTAAAAACACCGTTAAACGTAAACAAAAAAAAAAGGCCACTAAAGACCTAATCTTCTATAGTGATTAAAAGAGTTTTTTTTTTTATTGTGAATTTTTGGAAGATTTTTTTTGCTGGTATGACTTGTCATTTATTTATGATGATTTGGATTACATGTGTACAAAATAATTTATTTTGAGAATTAAATTTAAAATTACTCTAGTTTGGGAAATAAGATTAAAGAGCACCTGCATATATACAGGAAAAAACTGTTCAAACTTTCCCAAATTTTTTTATTTATTTATGAAATTGTAATTATAAAAAAGTTATACTTATAATTAGTCTATGAAATTAATACTAAAATAATTTAGTGACTAAGTCTTCAACAACTTTCAAATGTACCTAGTCCAAAATTATTTGATAAAACCCAAATATCTTTTGCCGCTTAATAAAAATCTTTCAATATTAAGAGGTGTGTACAATTGGAAGAAAATTCCCCATTATAACTTGAGTTGTCCAAAAACATAAAAAAATTGATTAAAGTCAATGCTCACAATTTCAAGGGAAAAACTAATGAAGACGATTGATAGCAATAAGATTTGGGTTGAATGACAAAACGAACTTGCATATTCATCAATCCCTTCAGAAAATATCAAAGTAATCATGGCGGCAGAAGGCGCTGTAATTAAAATATATTATTTTTGGCAACACAAGTTAAACAAATTCTATTGCTAGGAAACCCAGAGAATAAGCATTAATCCATCGAAGCAATTACACAATTAATTAATACACGTACAAACAGCTATCTAATTAATACACGTACATGGCTGTTGACAGCGGTCAAGTATTTATTTTATTATATGTAATAGCTCATTAACATGAGCTTTTAGTACTTTCCCTGCCTCCGATCAACCATGGAAACTTAAGAAAACTTAGACTTACTGATGAACATAAGAAAGAACCGAAAATAAAGTTTGTATGATGGTAAGTAGGAGCAAGATAACCGCAGCAAGAAAGGAAATGAGCGACCAGGGCGAGTTAAAATAATCTCTCTTCAATGTTGCCTTCCATTTGTTCCATTTTCTCTGGCAATGCTCGTTCACCTTACCAAATATCTCCGCATAGTAGAAGTCCTCGGACGAGTAAATGTTGTTGCGAAGTTTGTTAAGCATTTGGGCAACTGCTTCATCATCCCCTAACCAATTATCAATAACTCCACAGTTACAGAGTAATTGCACATCCTTGCCTGTGTTGATGAGGTTATCCATGAACGTCACATAATCACAAACGTAAGTTGGTTCCGAACTTGGGATGGATTGTTCGTAGGCCATTAAATTTCGCAAGATACGCTCCGTATTATCGTCAACGTGGAAGGTTGGAATCTTCAGTTCTTTTGTATCATCTGTAAATTTTATATCGAACAAGCTCTCTACACCTAACTTATTCTTATTATCACCAAAGAAATTGATTCCTGCCTCTTCCAGCTCTGTTGCACTGCGTATGAATTTCCATGAGCGTTGGGATTTTGGTTCTTTTGCTTCTGCTTCTGCTTTTTGTTTAAAATCCCTGTGGAGTTCTCTTCCTTGAGGTGAAGGAAGGCAAGTATCATGTACTAAGCCCAGAAGATGCTTGATATCTTTTGTGGCAGTGGGACAGTAATTTTCAGACCACATCTCTGTTCCTTGTGCCTCTTTGGTGAATAAAGAAAGAGCCAAACGGGCGAACTCATCAAGAGCATCTTCGCCCTTTGACGTTATTATGCGATACAGCTCGAAGAGCACAAAGAAAGGAAGCTGATTTTCTAACAGTAACAAATCATACCGAATGTCAGTTTGAATCCGTCCCAGTTGGCAAAAATCCTCTTCTGGGTACTCCCCCAGTATTAGCTGAACAATAAAGCATCCATCAAGGACCAGCATTTCTGGAAAATAATCAGGTTCATCTTTATAGAATTTGTTAACTCGTTCTGCCATTGATTTCATGGCCTCTACAAATACGATGGGATCAAGCTTGGTTTTCTCAATAATCCGACTGAAGCAATTCTTTTTGACAACTTCCAATGCCTCCGAGTGTTCCGTATAATGAAAACGGAAATAGGGACCAATTGGAATCACATTTGGCTCATAGGCTTTTGCATTTACTCCACGTAGTCGATCAGGCACTCTACTAATACTCCAACTATTTGCGTCTATAATTTTAGTACCCAAGTCACCTCCTGTCGGCTGTTAAAAAGGTGGCACATGCAGTGAATTTAATCAGCAATAATGTTATAAAATTCATTTTTTTTAAGATTTGCAATTGTTAAAATAATTGTATTAAAATTTAAGTAAACAAAAAGCATTTTTTCTTGAAAATAAATTATATAGGGAAGTTTCTATTCACACCCCAACAATTATTCTCTACACCTTGATTTTTTATTACAAAAATATTCTTATTTATAATTATTTAATTAACCTTTGACAAATTAACTTTCAATCCTACATCCATTTCTACTCCTTTTCTTCTTATTCCTCTGATATGTTTGTCTTCTTTTTTTTTTTTTCTCTTTTTTCCATACACTCGTATATTTCACAAACCCTAAAACATAAAAATTACAATTATTATCTGGTATATAGTAAAAATGGATACCCACGGTGAAAGAAAATTGATGGGATGAAAAGATTGAGATTTGGGATTTGAGGTTTACAAGTTTCCGAATTTGTATTTCTGAAAACTTGTGAAAGCTTTTAAATTTGCCTTTTTGAAAGCTTTTAAAAGTTTTGCTTCCTAAAATACAAATTCAAAAACTTTTAAAAATTTTTGAAAATATAATTTCAGAATTAATGATTTCACCCAAAAAGTAACTCAATATTTTATTTTAATTTAATCAATATTTTAACAAAATCAAACAAAATTACACGTCATTTATCTCTAAATTGAAGTTTAGTGGTTTAATTAATTAACTTCGGAACTTGTGAGTTTAAAATTTGGATGAAAGGTTTTAGGATGATTTTTAGGGTTAGGGTTTAAAGGTTATGAATAAAGAAAAAATGGAAAAGGAAATGGAAAAAAGGGTGTGAGGGGTATTTAGAGAAAATACGAAACGTGGTTAGGGGTGTAATTAGTAAGAAAAACTTAGATTTTAAATTTGGAGTGTAAAAAGTAATTGAATGTAGAGAATAATTTTTGAGGTGTGAATATAACCTCCCATCATATAATTTATTGTCTAAACAATCATATAAGAATATCAAATTTTAAATATTATCTTCTTAATTCACATAAATTTTGGTGATACTCTTTGTTTTAAACTTCACTACTTTTGGAATATGTTAATATGAGAAAATAATTATTTTACGTTTTAAAGTAAGCTCTTATAATATGTATTCAACAATTTTTATTTTTTTATTTGTACTCAAATAAAATTTTATTTCAAACGAAATATTAATTTATTTTAAAAATTTCTTTGGATACAAATTAAATATTAAAAATATATTTTGACATAATAAAGATAGAAAAACTTCCTCAAATAAGGTGATAAAATTCAAAAAAAATTTTGTTATTCTAACTATTTAGGAAAGAAAAAGATAATCACAAAACAAAGAGCAATAATATATAATACTATATTACAAAATATATTGATACGATAAAATTTGTTTACATGAAAGTTTAGGTAGATATTCTATTTATTTGAAACATAATATAATTCTTATTTTTATGTTATTAATCAATTAAATAAATTCATTAAAGATAATTATTAGTTATCTAAATCTCTATTATATTTTAAATGAAGTATTGATTTAATTTTATAATTCACAAATTAAAGAATCTGAAAAGTTAAATATTTTAAATTTAATAAAAGCGAACAATCAAATTCAAAATTAAATCATGAAATAAAAATTTCAAACTTTAAAATCTCAAAAATATATTTTTATCTTAATAAATTTTCTCATAATTTTTTTTTAATTTTTTAAACTTCTTTAAAATTTAAAATCACAATATCACTTTTTTTTTTTAAATTTGAAAGATATTTATCGATTTAAATTAAATAAAATTTATTTCAAAACTCATTCTTTTTAAATTATAAAAAATATAATAAAAAATCTTCTGCATCGCCGGTTAAAAGAGCCAGCATAGTTATATCCATACGCAACCAATAAGAAACCGGCATCAGCCCCACAATCACCTATCACAACCCAGAGCCAATAGACCCAGTAGACGTAGTCGAAAAAACCAATAGGCAAGAAAGAATACAAGAAACCACAATTCAGCAACACAGACGCGATACCAAACAACAAATCAACAATATGTGATCGAAAACAGGAAACAAGAAACATAGAAACACACAATCGGGAAAAAAAAAAAAAAGAAAACCACAATTAAGATCTTGATCGCCTATGTAAAAAAAGAAAATGAAAAAAAGGCATATATTAAATTGAAAACGGCAAAGCTAACCACGCAATTCATATACATACGGTAAGGCCTTTCAATTACCTCTCTGAAAAGTTGTCTAGTCTGTGCCGAAGCAACCCGCATCTTGTTTATTGTAATGCTAAGGTCACCATCTATAGCCAATACCTGCACAAAAACATGGGATATACACTACATTATTGTGAATTAATTGAGGAGAAAGATAATACTACCTCTTGAAGAATGAACTGTAATTTTACAAAGAAAAGAATGAATGATAATTTGTTTAAGAATTACCAGCCAAAGTGGAAAGCAGAATCGTGGCTATGCTTGTGAAATTTGGTGGTTATAAAAGAGTGATGTATCTGATCACCTATATATATTGGAGTGGGCGACCCATACCCAGGACCAGGTTATGTATAATGACATATGAATGAATGGCATCAGATATATTACTTCACATTTTCGGTAATTAAAACCTTTTATTGTCAGTGCCGGTATCCGCAGCTTTCGATCAAAATTTTCGCATTTAAAAACCTAGCTACCAAAAAGCAAATAAAATTTCGATTATGACTACCGCGTTGCTCAGAGTCATGTGATGTATTATAGTCGGATATGACATAACAATTACCTTTAGAGAAAAGATAATAGAATTGTCCGTTTTAAATAATTTTTGATAATTTTAAACACGATCATATTAATTTTGAAATAAAATAAATACAAGCAATCGATTGCTCCATCAGTTGCTAAGCAAAAGTAATCAATTGTCCTATTAACTGCTTATCAACAAATAGTATCAATTTTGACTTTCGAGTGAATTTATTGCAAAATATATACATGAGAAGTGGATTGGTTTTTAAGGTAACCAACTACTTTTTAGGGTAATCGATCACTCATTAGGTCGCAGCTAAATGCTCAGGTTATTCATACATTTTGTTTGAACATTTGTCAAGAGCAGTCGAATACTAAAAAAGATAATAAACTTCCCTGATGAAATTTACATTTTGCGTGAAAATTTGTCTAAAACAATCAAATGCTTTAAGGAAGAAAGTTGAATGCTTGTCATGATTTTATATTATATTGAGAATATGTTTAAAGCAATTGAATGTCATTATTAGGCATCGCGAAAATAAAAAATATGTCCACTCAACATCATGTTTTATTTCAAAATAATGATCCTTCATCCTCTCTCTCTCTCTCTCTCTCTCTCTCTCTATATATATATATATATATATATATATATATATATATAAAGATGTTTCAAACACTGTTTGAGTCTTATAAATATTTTTATAAACATTTATTTTGCACAACTTTTTGTCATTATATTTAATTTCGAGAACCTATCCATTGATACAAAAATATGGAATCATCACTAATATCTTATATATATATATGTGTGTGTGTGTGTGTGTGATTAGTTACTTATGTGAATATATCTTTTTTAAAATTATCCTAAACTTAAATTAAAGGTCTCTAAAAAAATAAGTTCTAATCTATATCAATAGAACTAAGTTTAAGAGTTAGTTATGTAAAGGGAGTATTTTAGCAACCCCTTATGCCTAAAATTGATATCAAATTAATCACATGTTGTCTTACTTAAACCTTAATTAAAGATAGCATTTATTCTTTTTTTTTTAATTTTAATATTTAAATATTAGAAAAAATTCTTTAGGCTTTCACCAAAAAATAAAATTTTTTTACCTCAAGAATGCTACTTGATCCATTTAGGTGATGAAAATGGTTTTGTTCATAGTAATAAAATATTATTAATAGTGCTCATGATGAAATAGATTCATATAAGTATTTATGAATTAACATAAAAAGTTTTAAAAGGAGACTATAGAAACATGATTATGTTTAAAATCTACTTATTGATGTAAACTCTTACATTGAGTTAAAATATAAAAGTTTTGAAACTTTATAGAAATAGTAATATATCTGCTAGTTATCTTTCACTAAAGGTAGATATGGAGGTCTCCTACTTAAAAAAAATAATAAATAAATAGTGAAAAAAATAAATGAAATGATAACTTAATTAAGTATATTTAATATCTGGATAATTGAATGAGATATTTTTTAATAAAAGAATGCATAGTTGCACATGGTGGGGGTGATAAGAATCAAAAGAAATAAAAATTACCACCATAATGTTGTAAGATTTTAGTATAATTTTACAAGCAAATTATACAAGCTAATAAGTTTAGACACCTATTCAATTAAAATCATAAAAAAGTCTTTAAAATCTTAAAAGAACTAAAATCCTTTGGGTTATTCATTGAGTTTATCCAATTATACTAGAAGTACAATTGTATTAAAAATATATAAAAGTATGAAAATAGAATGATTGAAATTAATAAATATAGAGTTGTGGCCACAACTAAAACCTGTTATTTCTTTATCGTAACAGTTTTGAGACCGCCAGACGTAAATGAGTGTTTTAAAATAAAAAAAATAAAAAAGAGTCGCCACCAATCTTTATTAGGGTGTGATTGACCACCCAAAAGTTTATCTTTTTAATAAAAAATAGGTTTAAATTTTATCAAAAAGATAAATTTTGGTCTTAGAAAAACCAAGTTGGGTCCATGAGTCAGTTACGTGTGGGAAAAGATTAGCACCCCTACAACGCCCATAAATTGGTACCATATAATTATGCACTATTTTCGGTGTTGGATAAAAATGGTTTTGACTTGAAATTTAATACTAATTCCCTTCATTTGGAAAAATAAAATTTTGCTAAAATTTTTATTTAAAAATATTGAGAAAATCTTTAAGTTAAAGAATTATCTTAAAGTTCTCCAACAACTAGGCAGAATTTAAAATAACTATTTTCGCTTAAGATTTAACACAATAATCCTTAAAATGAAATAACAATCTTTATAGAAAATAATTATTAGTGACTCTCCAACATCTAAGCAGAGTACCAAGAATTATTTCTTTTGGAATGTTATTTTTATTTTATTTTGTAATATCACAATTTTTTTTGAAAGTATTATTCTTTTTTATTATAAAATATTTTATCACCAAGTAGCAAATAAAAATTAAAGACAGAATAGTGCAAATAATTACTAATAATAACATGCTAACATATGTATGCCAATGAATGTTATGTAGGATGAGATGTAATTTAAAAGTTGGATTCTTAAGTATAATGAGGCCACCCCAACTCTCCAACATCTAGGCAAAGCTTAGGTGTGACTATTTATATTTAAGATCCCAATTTACTATTATACTTTTTATTTATTAATCTTATTATTAATGCGAATTAAGAAATCATGTGAAAAGATTTAACAAAGTAAAATTTTCTAAATACCCCATCATCTAGGCGGCATTCGGGAACAAATTGCTTCAAATGAAATTTTCACACGTGTGCTTAGATTTTTAGGAAGTTTTGAGTAAGGGCTTGAGTAGAGGTTTTGAAGGTTTGGTTTTAAGGTTTTGAGGGTTTTAAAGCTTGAATTTTAGGATATGGAAGGTTTAGGGTTTTGATTTTAGAGTTTGGAGATTTTAGGGTCTGGGCTTTGTGGTTTGGGGTTTTGATTTAAGGGTTTGGATTTTAGGGATTTTAGATTTTTAGTTCGGATTTTAGGATTTTGGATTTTAGGATTTTGGACTTTAGAGGATTTTGGATTTTAGGGGATTTTGGATTTTAGGGGTTTTAGAAACCTAGGATTTTGAAAATTAAAAATTAGTGTTTAAGGTTTCATTTTTAAGAAAATACAAACATCTTAAAAATTCCCAACATCTAGGCAGATTTTCCAAGCAAGTTCGATTTTAATGATTTTTGAATTTCTTATATATATATATATATATATTTTTCATGAAAATTTATTAATAGTAATTCCCTAACATCTAAGCAGAATTATTTCTTTAGAAAAATATTTTTTATTCCTTTCAACATCTAGGCAGGAAAAATAATAATAATTATTATTATTATTTTTTGAGCATTTTTAATATATATTTTTAATCATTACTTGCTTTCAATTTTATTATTATTAAAATAATTAAATATTTATTCTAGCAAATTTAAGAATTTATCATGCATCAATATAAAAAAAAAATACTTAAAATAACAAAAATAATAATATATAAAAAATTAGAAAATTAAAAAAAAAATGTTTTTTACCTGAATCGGACCGTGGTTTGGACCGGTCTGACCGGTTTGACGATTCAATCAATGGTCGAACAGTCCAGTGGTTCAGACCGGTTCACTGGTAGTTCGTCTGAACCAGTTCAAGGTTGGTTGAAGCAGGTTGACGGGTCGGTTTGCACGGATCTCGGGTCGGATCCGGGTCCACACGCGGATCCTCATTGGCTAAAATGGCATCGTTTTGGGTCTTTCCCTAAACGACGTCGTTTTCAGTTTTGCTTTCCTATATATAACTAAAGATTTTTTTTTGGTTCATTCTTTTCTATTTAAAAAAAAAAAAGGGGGGAAAGATAGCTCTAGGGCTCTCGCCGTCCGGTCGCCTGACCACCTCGTCGGCAGCCACTTGAGTCACCGTCGACAGTCGCTACCGATGGTTTTCGATCCCCGAAATATGTAAAAATTATTTTGGCAGCTCTCTTCAATGCCCTCTTTCAAGATCTGGCTTTCTTTTCGCCAGAAACAACCCCGATCGTCATAGATCAGGGCTTGAAGTTTTTTGCCTTTTTTTTTTTAAACTAAAACTAATATGTTTTCTTTTTTTTGCAGGGAGCTTGGCGCTGAGGTTCCTCCCTACAGGGAAGCTGTTTGTCTTTGTTTTTTTGTTTCTGGTTGGGTATGGGTTTGGTGAGGGTTGAGGCTCAGATTGGGGTGCTAGTATAGGGACTGAGTTTGTTGAAAGGGGGGCTGGGCAGTGATGAAGGGTAAGCTCTTCGTCTGTTGCCAAAAGAGTGTCCGAGAGAGAATGCTTTAAGGGAAGAATCTATAAGGTTTTTAAGGAGCTTTAAAGGGGAGCAGATGATGGTTGTAGAGGTGGCTATAGGGAGTGGCAAGAGGTGGGCTGTAGGGTGGTGAGTAGGTAGTGGAAGTGGGCTATAGGGTGGCTAGTCGGGGGCGGCAGCAGCGCAGTACACCAGCCACCCTTCTTTCTATTTTTTCTTTTTCTTATTTTCTCTTTCTTTTTTTTAATAATTAATAATTATTTTTTAAAAATATATATATATATTTATTAGTATTATTATTATCATTATTATTAATTTTAATAGTAAACCCGGATAAAATCGATGTCTACAGCTGTCTCTCTTTGCACATTACTGAGAATCAAGAATAGAGCAAAGACAAAGACAATGATTTTATCCGAAAGCAAATCGTGAATTTTTTTTTTTAAAAACACAAAACGATTAGGATGACACTGTAAGTCAAAAAATAATGAATCAATCGAGATAACACTACGAATCGAATTTATGCTCGAAGGTCTTAGAAATTATGCCCAGAGGTCTTAAGAATCATGATCGAAGGTATTACAGAATCGACTGGGATAACATCGTAAGTCAAAAAATCAAGAATCGATCGAGATAACATCGCGA